CGGTGTCCCCTGCTGGGGTGAACGTGCTGCACGCCCTGAGCCGGTACAGCCGCTACGTCAGCATTTTGGATGCCGACAGTAAGACTCTGCGCTGCCCGCTGTACAAAGGCACCTTGGTGTCCCGGCTGGCCGACCACCGCACGCAGATCAAGCGAGGAAGCACCTACTATATGCACGTCCAAAGTATCCTCACCCAGCTGTGTTCAAAAGCCTTCCTCTTCACCTTCTGCCATCATTTGCACCTTCCCATCAGCGAAAGGGAACCGGAGGAATCCGTCGTGAGCCGCAGGATGAACTTTCTAAAGCTTCAACTGGGCCTGGCCAATGAAGATATCAAAATCGTGCAGTATTTAGCTGAGCTGCTGAAGCTGCAGTACATTCAGGAACCCGGCCAGGGGGTGAACCCCCTGCTCAGATTTGACTACGTTCCCAGCTTTTTGTACAAAATCTAGCCTGGCGTGCGGGCTGTCTGCCTGCGTGCTCCGAGTCCAACAGAGATCATCCGTGCTTGACGTTGGCGCTGCCTGCAGTAGCTCTCACGTGTCGGGAAGGGGTGGAGAAGCCAAGCGTCTGCGCTGCGCAGAAATCGGTGCCTGAATCCGAAATTCTGTGCGGTTCCCCGTAGCCGAGGATGTAGATATTCCATCACATAAACCACCAGGCACTCTGTTCTTCAGTGTCACAAGGGGCACCATTCACAGCTGTATCGTGGCAGCATCCCGGGGGGGATTACGGCGTGGAGAGAGAGAGAGAGAGGTGGGCTGTCCTGGGGAGCAGCACTTACTGTGTGCAGCCCCCAGAATAACGCAGCGCTCCCCATGTTTCTGCCAGAGCTCAAAACACTCTTGGTCCCTTTTGTGAAGCCAGAGGGGAGACGGAAAGGCCATGTGAAGTATTTTTTTGAATCTGACAGTGGCTCGTGTGAGTGCAGTTCAGGAGCTCCCTGGCAGGGTGGCAGCTCGCAGTCTCTGCACGGCGAGAGTGGATGTTGTGTCCCTTCCTGCATTTTTTGGGGGTTTCCTGGCACTTCCCAGCTCAGGTTGTTGCTGGGCTGGGGGCAGCGCAGCAGAGGTGCATGTGCTTCTCTCCAGAAAGTATTTGCTGGTTTCTCTCAGCTCTGTTAAAACCTGGAAGGTGGAAGGGTTCCTTAACGCTGGCGAGCACTGAGGCACCCGCTGCTGTGAATGTAGAGCGCCGTGCCTTGCCAATTTGTCACGTCCTCTTTGCTCTGTGAAGGGTGGGAGGGAGCTGGGGAGTCCTCAGAGCGTGCGAGGTCAGGGGTGGCCTTTTAAGGAACTGAACAGAGGGGGGGGGAACTAATTTTTAGGTGGTTTTTTGTGATGGGGAAACAAACAGTGCAATTCCAGGCTGCTGGGGCTGGCTGCTGAGGTCCCAGTGCTCAGGAGAGATCAGGGATGAACGTACTGGATCCTACGTTGTATCTAATAGTTTTTGTTTGGTTTTTTGGGTTGTTTTCTTTTGGGGGGGGAGGGGGGGGAGTTGACTTTTGTGCTTTGTGATAAAGCAGGGTCAGCGTGGCTGCATGCTGCTTCTGGCTGAGCCTTTGGGGTGTCTCGACTACCTCTCCTGGGGTGCTCTGGATGGGGACGAGGACTTTCCTTTCCAAGCTTCTGTGCCATAAACGTGGTGCCACCGGCGTGGGGATGCTCCCAGATGGTTCCTGTCAGTGCCAAAAGCTTTGTGCCTGGGCACAGCGCTTCCCTCTGGAGTGTCCTAGGAGATGCTGCCTGGTATTTGTAAGCAAGAAAAGCCTTGCTAGGAAAGGTGTCCTTGGTTTTATTTCTTCTTATCTTTTTTAATTCTTTTTAGCACTCTTTTGATTATGGGAAGCTGAGACCATACAAGACAAACCGAAGCATTGTTTGGTTTGGTTTTGGTTTTAAACCCCTATTTATTGTACTGGAAATGAATGTGCTGTCCCTTCCACGCCGGGGAAGTTCCTGCGTGCAGCCTGGGGTTATCAGCGCAGCTCAGACCCCACTGGTGCTGTGAGAACCACGCTGCTCCGAAACCTGTGCCCAAAGGCAAGGAAGCTCCTTGGGGAGGCTCCTGTACCACTCTTTTGCCTGGAAGGGGCTTGCTGGGTTGGTGTAGGAGGGATAAACCAGAGAGGCTGTTTTAATTTCAAATGTTAGCGTTGTTTCTGGTGGTTTACGGTGAGGCCAGCTCAGCCGAGCTCGTGGTGCTCTCCAGAGGGATGGCCAAGGCCAGGGCTTGCTCGTGGTGGTGGTTTTAGGCTGCAGTTGGGATGCAGCGTGGCGTTGCCTCGGCTGAGGGCGAGTGATGTGCCTGTGTGCAGGGCTGTGTGCCTTTAAAGCGCGTTCAAAGGCCTTTTCCTTTCCAACCTGTGCCCTCCTGTCGTGCGTGAACTGGGTCTGCTGGTGAAAGACTTCCCTGTCTGTCAAAAACACCTCCTTTCTGAAGTGACTCGAGGCGTCCCCTTGTTGATCCTTGTGCTTCCACACTGAAGCTGAGGCGAGATCCCCAGGGGAAGAGGCGTTTTGGGACCTGAGGAATGCAGGTGGCAGCGCTCAGACTCAAGTCCCTGTGTCCTGCCTGGCTCTCACCACGCACTCGGGTTGTTTTCTGCTGGAAAACGACCTGATGCTCTTTGGGTTTGAGGAGGGAGGGATGAGGTTTTACCCTGCTGACTCACTCACGTCTTCCCCCGGGCCGACAGCGCAGGATTAGTGCAGGCTGATCTCTTACTCACAGTGCTCTCGAACTGGTAAATAACTCACTTCTCGTGGCTCCCTCTATCAAACCTGTGGTATCTGATACTCAAGGCTGTGTTGAGCAATACTTGCACTATCACCTGTCTGAGTTGCTTCATCTCCCCGCCACAAAGCAGATCTGATTTGGGAGGACGCCTCGGGGGCTTTGCTGGGGCTTTAAAACGGGAGCTCTGTGCTCTCTGCAGCTCAGCTCCTAAGCGGGAGCTGTGGGGAGAGGCGCCTTGGAGTGTTCGTCCTCCAAAATCAGGCTCTGGGCAGGGTAACCTCAGAGCTTGAACTCCAGGAAAGGGGGAGCCCGGGTGGCCCTTGATGCTTGCGGTGCCCATGATGGTGGCAGAAATCGGGGCAAGTCCGAGCGCAGCTGCTGCTTCGGGAGCTGAATTCCTCTTTGCTCAGTCATTTCTCTCTCCGACCGTCTGCCCCTGTACAGCAAAGATCCCTGTATCGGCACTTTAAGACTTCTCCCTCATCTTCACTGTGTACCTCACTGGTTTCTGATGTTAGCAGACTTACACGTCACCATCTTGGCACTAACAGCTCCACGATGTACCTTGCCACGTGTGTTCGTCGCCTCGCGCCGCTGTCCGGCCATGCTCCCACCCTGAGCCGGGCAGGTTCCTCACAGGCCAGCGTCACCTGCGTCCCCGAGCGCTGCCAGCACGTCCCTGCCTCCTGCATGGCCGCTGCGGCTCCCTCCTCTCTCTCCGAGGCTTTCAGCCCCATGGAGAATTCACCAGAGTCAGGGCTCCCTTTTCTTCCTCCTTCGCTTTGACCACCAGCCCCTGCTCCACGCTAGCCGGCCACTTCCAGCGCCCGCCCCAGGAGGGTCAGCCGTAGGAATGAGCGATATTAACCCTACACAGGTTTCATTTCTCAGAGAATAGCGCTCGGATTGGCTTTTATCCGGCAGCGATCGCTTCGAAGCAGCTCCAGCTCTGTCTTGCCTTGACACTCTAGCAATATTCACCGTTTGGTGAGGGGTGGGAGAGGCGCTGGTGGCGGTGACAGCCCACGCTGTGGGTTTGCTGCCCGAGAGAGCTGGGCAGGACCTGGGGCTGGCAGCAGCGCTTTGGAAAGGCTCCTATAATAAATAATGAGGGAAGCCCGGGCTGAAGGAGAGCGCCTGCTCTGCGCGGTGGCCCCGTATCACAACGTCAGAGCACCAGAAGGGTCACAAACCCCCTGCACGCTGGTCCCCACAACGTGGTTTTAACTGGAAGGCAGAAACAGGGTACCCGGTCCCGCTGGCCGCGTTGCTGCCGGCACAGGGATGGGGCTGGGCTAAGAGCTGCCTCTGAGGGCTGCGAGGAGGCTGTGACGGATTCTCATCTTCTTTTCAAGCACTGTATCCTATAACTGCATGTTGAGTTCCGTGCGTGTGCCTGTGCGTGGCGAATGCTTGCGTCAGTAGTTAGAGCGAGCGTGACCGGGAGAAATCCAAAGCAGCATGTCTTAGTGTCGTGCCGTAAGTGTTCCTGCACAAGAGTTTAACTGATGTTAACACCAAATGACTAGTCTGAGAAATGTACTTTTAAAAAAGGAAAAAAAAAAAAACCCACAAAAACAAAACAAAAAAATTATTTATTTGGGTTCAGATATTTTTGAAATACAAAAAGAAAAAAAAAAAAGAAAAAAAAATGGGTTGTATTTTTTAAAGCTTCTAATTCTTGTCATACGTCGTGGTTAAATTCTTCATTTGACCGTGCTTATTAAAAAATGGTTCTACCCAAGCTTGGTGCTCAGAGGCCTGAGGAAACAGCGGAGAGGCTGCCTGGGATGGGGTGGTGATCCTGGGAGGGCTCCTGGGGACAGGGCTTGGCCTTGTGCGAGCCTGTGGAGGCTGAAGGCACAAATGAGCGTGGGCTGTGTGCGTGAAGGGGAATCCTCCAGGCTGACAGCAGGGAGCTTTCAGCGGCTGTGAGGCCTCTAAAACCCCCCTGGCCCTCCAAGCGCTGTGGGCAGGGGTGCTCAAGCCTCGGTGGGTGCAGGAGGGGACCTGGCTGTGAGGCTGAGCATTCCCTGGTGCTCAGTCCCCGCTGTAACATTTGACGGTGACAGGGCTGGTTTTCCCCTGGGGGAAGCTGTGCCCCAAACAGGAGGGGAGAGGTGAGTAAAGTCGAACACAGAGGAGCTGCTGCACTGCAGCCGGGGCCCGCAGGGGGAAGGCACTGGGG